CTCCTAGAAACTTCATCCCAACATTGGCCTCCCAATTTCTGAAGCGAACAACCCCAAGAGGTTTACTACCATAACAAAAAGGCCAAAATATTTCAGTCTTACGAATATCCAATTCAAGACCTAATCTTGGACTTATCTTCTGAAAAAGGTTAAGGTATTTAGCTATGTCCTCTGAATCACCTATGATGGATCCATTATCAAAATACCTGACATGAAGAGAAAACTTACAATTATCTCTAATATGATGAATGAATAGGTGTAACACAAGAGAAAAAAGATTGAACCTAACATGTCACATTGTTTGCCTCCACTAGCTGAAATAATATACCCACCCTCAAGGTACAACCTCGTTGGCTAACCATAAAAAAATTTAACCCACAAAGAAATTAATGGATATCTCACCCTTACCTTGCGTAGAAGTGCTGATCGATTTATCATGTTAAAAAAAATTGAGAAATCTATTGTGAACATAGTTAAAGAACCTTCTCCATGCCTCCTGCTAACACTTTGTTTACACTATGAAAAATTACATCAACATCACTCTATACCATGACCCTAAAATGGAAGTCATTTTGATATTGTGCTTCATTTTTACTGGCCCTTTTCATATCAAGATTGGGTAGCAACCTCCTCCAAATAGAATCTACACCAATTGGTTGCATCCCACCATCGAGCTTTAATAACGACATCAAAGGGAAGAGGCAACAACCTCAACCAAACTCATCAGACATCTTTCTCTCAATCATAAGTTAACAACTAGAGTGATTGCAAATAAAATACACTACTACAAAAAACTCATTTCACAATGGTTGGAAAATGTAGAACAAGATTTGGTTCTGCAATTATATCTCTGAGTTTTGATGATAACAAAAAGTATGTTTGTATGAACAATTTTGGTACTCTAATTTTTTTATTTTTAGTATTTAACAAACATGTTTTGCTTTTGATGAAAGGCGTTGCCAAGTCATTAGAAGAGACCAAGTTCCGGTTCTGCGCTACACAAGTTCTGATGAACAATAGCAAGCCACTTCAGAAGGATATGAAGTTTGGACTCTGACACGCGGTCAAAGAAACCAAGTTCTGAAGATCTAAAGATAGAAGTTCTAATGAACAAGTCCCGATACTGAAGACTTATGTTTCTGAAGACAAAGGGTTCTGAAGACCAAGTGATGAAGACTCTGAAGATGAAGTTTTGAAGACTCTGAAGACTTAAAGTTCTGATGACCCAAGCATTATTTTCTTTCTTCTAACTCATGCTCAGTCAGAAGCCTCTGAAGTCAAGAAGATAAGAAGATAAAGTTACGTGGTAAAATAGAACATGGTACAAACAATGTTTTTCTCCACTACCATGAAAGGATGGACGCGTTGTACAATCTTGTCCCCCACGTAGAATCAAGCTGCCATCTTTCTGGAATTTCTAGAAATGCCCTACAACAGTTCATAAGCATTCCTTTGTTATAGTCTATTGTTCTTGAAATATTGTTTACTATCAACTTGTGTAGAAGAAATCTATTGTAAACAATTTTTGTTCAAACTATTGTTTGATTGTGCCTTAAGGGACCAGTTGGTAAGAATCCTTGAGAAGTCTAAGATTAGTGTGTCTTAGAGGTTGTATGTGAGTCACTTGCAGTTAGCTTCTGCATTGTAATAATCGGTGAGATTATTGGATTAAGACCTTGTTTGATCAGGAAAAATCACCTTGGCGAGTGGACTAGATTAGCATGATAATTTTCAAGTGAACTATGAAACAACCGGCTAAACATATCATTGAGACGAAATTAATGAAATCGCCGTTTAACTTTTTTTATCCCACCAGAAGGGAAAGGTAAACATCGAGTAAACCTGAGATGGGTGAAATCATGATCAAATGACCACGAGGTTGGGTAAGGGAGTCCGTTACGCGAGGGAAAGGTATTAGCACCACACACGCCCGTAGTACTCTATGGTATCCACTCTTGTTATTCTAATCAAATGGTGTGTTCAAATCTAAACTTACGAGCTAAAAGAAAAATGCGAAGAGGGAATACATGCAAAAGAAAACACTGGGAAAAGAAGGAAGTATTTACAAAGTTTCTCTTGGATGAGCATCGTGACTAGATGCCTACGTATCCCTTTTAAGGAATCAGAGCGCCATAGTTCAGCTCACATGTTTTGATTTGTTTTTTATTTTTTTAATGAACAATATTAATTTCACCTTCTACCGCAGCTCGACCTTTGGAGACTCACGCGTCAACACAGAAGTGAATTAACATGTTCTACCTAACAAGTTATTTACAAAGAAAAATGCCCAAAGGCAGGTAATGCTACATTCGTGCTCTAGCAATTTAGACATAGTTCCACCTGACCTTTGGGGATTTACGCGTCGTGTTGCGTAGAGTAGAATTAACACATCCTTTTTAAGTTTGAAAGAAAGGCCCGAAGGTGAGAAGAGTTTTCATTGGTTGATGTTTTTTTACCTTGAAAAAGGATTTGAAAGTTGTTAGATGCTTTATGCATTTTCTAAGAAAAAGTTTTAGTTTTAATGCAAGGATGTAAAAGAAAGAAAAACAACTAAGGGATATCTAGAATCTAATCTCTAATATTATCATACAATGATTGATCATAAGGTTGAGTTTTGAAAGGGAAATGTCTACCCTATGTTAGCATGCATGGATTACAATCCTAATGTCTATCTTGAATCACAACCAAAGGATGAATAAAGAGATCCTAAGGGAGCATGGAAAAGATTCACAACCTAAACCTATGTCTATCTCGAATCGCCACAAAAGGGTGAATCAAGAGCTCCTTAGGGAACATAACAAAGGTTCACAACCTAAGAAAACATGAACACAAGGATGGAAAGCAAGTAATCAACAAGCTCAAGAGAGCACACACAAGGTAAATCCCTACCTAAGTTAGCATACCTAAAACCTAAGGGAAAAGATAAGTATCCTATAGGGAACATGCAAATATCAAATTCGTTATCTCAATTCTAATTGAGTGACATCATTGATCACCAATAAATGAAAATGATAAAATCCTAAGGGGAGCATGAAAAGATCGAAGTCGTCATCTCAATTCTAATTGAGTGACATCATCGATCGTCAAAAGAAATAAGCCATGAAATCCTATGGGGAGCATGCAAAGATCGAAGTCGTTTTCTCAATTCTAATTTAGTGACATCACTGATCACCAACAAAGGAAGCAAACACAAGTACAAACACAAATAACAAATAAGTGTGGAATGCCTGCTACATGTCTTTAAATAGCGATTTTGAGTGCACGCTCTTTATTTCCTACTTCTCATGATATATAGAAAACGGTAAAGTGCAAATAAACCAGGATCAGAATGATACCAAACAAACAAAATTTCGTAGCACATCAAACAAATCAGAGAAACCCGGAAAACTTCGAGTAAGCTTCACCAAGCAATAAGAGAATAGTCAGAAATCAGCGATGTGAAAATCAATCACATGCATAATGCGTACATCGGGAGCATCCACATCACAAATGGTACACCTGCACGAGAATTCGCAATCTAGACAAAACACAAGCAAGGTATATTTCCCATGTAATAAGAATCAAGATAAATTGCATCGGAAGCGAATCTCATATCCACAAATCAAGCGGAATGCAAATGCTCTTAAATCAAAATAAATGATCGAAAGCTCTCTTGAAATGTCTTGCACAAGTCTACAAATGCACTAGTAAATAACAAGGATGTGATAATCGAAACTAAGCATCTACATGACAAATTAATTCCTAAAATTGATTAAACATCTAACAAGTTTTTATTGATTTTACAATTTTTCAACATAAAAAATATATATAAAAAACTACAAAAGAAAATCCTAAATCCAATAAAAGAATATATGAGAACCAAGGGGTGGAAACTAATTTCAGGTGGTGTAAGCTAGTAATCAGGCGCTAGGGCCCAATCTAAAATGTCCAATAAGCCAATTTTTGTTCACTTGTATGAGGCTATAAAAAAAGGTGATGTGGGCATATAGGGTTTTGCATATAGAAATTGTCCCAGGCCTATGCACATGAGTCCATCATTCCAATTCCCACATGCCATCATATTATGATAAGAGAAAAATGATGAAACAATATTTAGTAAAGAGATAGGGTTTTTTGTGTGACTATTAAACTTCTTCTTCCTTGTCCTTGGCGAACGGCGCACCTCATTCTCTGGCGAATATCAGTGATCCGCCACCGTCATTTCGACCCTGGAATCCTCATCCACATTGAATCCCGCATACGAACCTAGCTTCAGATTCTTCCAATATCTTGCGACGTCACTCTAAATCGGAAACCCTAGCAGTCCTGAAGCTTCAATTTAACGACACAGATTACTCCATTCAAGCTAAAGCCATGGGAGAAGAGCTCGGGGGAATGAGAACTACATGTCTGTATCAAGAAGAGGGCGAAACACTTTGACAGCGGCGCTCGATGTCAAACTCCGGGGAGCATTTTGAGTCCGTAGTGAGCTCTACTCTTCCCATTCCCTTTTTTCTCTACATTCTTACGTTTTCCTCAGCTTCCGTCTTTGTTTGATCTCTGCTTCTTCTGCATCTGACTTTTCTGCTCGTGTTTACGTCGCTTTACCGTATTGTAGAAATTATGATGTTACGAGCTTTGGGGATGATGAAGGCTGAAGAGAGAATGAAGAGTGAAGTTTCTGGTTTTTCTTGTGTGATTCTTCAGAATGTGAAGAATGATGAAGATGAAGATGAAGATGAATAGAGCTGAGAAAGGAGAGTGAATAGAGAAGTTGATGGTGATTCTTATGCAGAGATTGAAGAATGAATTGTGAAAGGTAAGATTTCTGTTTTATAATATGTTAGAGTTTGTTAGAAAAATCAGTTAGAGTTAGGTAAATATGAGTGGTTGAATCAGATAGTTAGTTAAAGGAATTGTAAGGATGAGATTGATTCCAATTGAACTGGTTTTTCTGTTGAAATTCTATTGTGATTAGTTGGTTATATTCTGTTATAAACTGCTATGAGTTTGCTCTTGATTTAATCAGGAATTCTATTATGCAATGTTGGCTGCAAGTTTTCTACTCCTTTATTGTTGAATGCAGGACATAAATGGAAATTGCTAATTATTTTTGGTTTTTTATGAATTGACTTTGCACTTGAATGTGGATTTTGAAATGATCTAGCAGGGTATATTGTTGGTATCGGTTTCGCAAACATAAACTGGTTTAATTGGTTATATGCAGGCTTTATGGTAAACTGATTATGAGGTTTTTGCATGCAGGGAAATGCGTCTATTTTTTTGTGTTACTGTACAGGGCCGCAATTCAGTTTGTGCAGCACCATAGTACTGTAATGAGGAGCTTAGAGTTGATGAGTGATTGGAACATGGCGGCATAACATTATAGCCGCTTGAAGCACGAAGGCTTGAATGCAGTTTGAAGCAAGGTCGTAGCATAGATTTGCAAGAGATTTGTTTTGCTTCAAGGATAAGGCTGTTGGCATAGCTGAAGTAGTTTGAAGAATTCAATGATATGAAAATTCTTTAAGAACCAGATTGAATACTAGTAACACTTAGGCTTAGGACATTCCACAACCTTGTAAAACCTCGTAATGCTTGTAATCTTGAATGCACCTTTCCTTTGAGGGAACTTTGAACAATGTTGAATGGATCTTTCCCTTTGTAATGTATTAGAAATTTGGATGAATGGGAGTTTGAGTGAATTGTAACTTGAAAATTGGATGATGTAATTCTTTTGTAACCGTGAACTTTCAAATTGATTTTGAACTTCCAAGTTCTTTTCCTCCAATATTTTCTTTAAATGCCTTTGTATGAATTCAAATAATCATGGTATGAATCCAAAATATTTGCAAGGTAATCAAAAGAGATGTGAATCTTGAATGAATTCTTGAGAGGCTACTTGGATGACACTTTGTCTGTTGGATGAAATAAATGAATTCGAAGCATACCTTTTTATACTTGTGACTTGAATTCCAAGAAATGCTACACAAATATTTATGAGCTTTGATTTGCTTCAAATCCACTTCAAATCTTAATGAACGAATTTCAATCAAACTATAACTTCAATGAATCCCTAATTCAATTCAATTTCCCAATCTAAACCAAATTTGTGTGTCAAGCAATAAGCATTAAAAAGAATGATTCCTTGAATTGGTGAAACATTGGTACCAAATAGATATTACAAGATAAACCAAAATCTCGACCAAAGGATGAACACCACTTGATTATAATTAGAAGAACGCCTTAGATGAAAATCAAACCAAACCCAAACACTAAGGATTAGAAACCCTAAATCACGCTTGCATCACCAACTCCTAACATCTTGCATCCTAAGGCAAAGTTGACTTGAAAAGCATCCTTGAACCCTGATATGCAAATCCCTAATTCAACGCTTCATTGCTTGAAGAAGTAACCAAAAGATTCATAAGTAATAAGCTTTTATTGGATACGAACACCTTAACCCCTGTGAAACCATAATATCACACAACTAATTAACATTGAACCTCATGGTACTTTATTGAATGTAATACACATGTTAATGACTTAATGGAAAGATGTGAATACAACACTAAGCCTAAGCCAGATAAAAGTACAATTAGGAGGGCAAATTTTGGGGTTCAACAAACTAGTATAAACATAACCTATTATTTCCTTCTTGCATCCTTAGCTTTATTATCAATAGTGAAGAAAAATATTTTTAGTTAAAGAGGATTCTTTTTAAGAAAAGTTTTTTATTTAAAACCCAATTCTAACCCTCCCTTTCTTGTGTTTTTTCACACCTTCAATTGATATCAGAGCTCCGGTTCTGAGTGATAAAAAGTTTGAACTTTTATCAAGCACTTAACAGTGTTCAGTACCGATCCAGGCTGTGTGAAAAATAATGGCGGCTAACAACGCTAACAACAACACTATCACTGTTGATAATAATGATAAGGATAGAGACCAATACAATATAAAACCTTATCATATCTTTGATGGAGAAAAGTTTGACTATTGGAAGGACATAATGGAAAGTTATTTTCAGGGATTTGATTAAATCAATGGGATCTAGTAGTTGATGGCTACAGTTATCCAGTAGATGATGAAGGTAAAAATATTGCAAAGAGTGCCATGAGAGATGCTCAGAAAAAGACTTACAAGAACCACTACAAAGCTAGAACAATTCTGCTGAGTGCTATTTCTTACAATGAGTATGAGAAGATCACAAATAGAGAGACTGCAAAGTCTATTTTTTATTCTCTTCAGATGACTCATGAAGGCAACGCTCAAGTTAAAGAGACAAAGGCTCCGACCCAAATCCAAAAATATGAAGCCTTCATAATGGAAGAAGATAAATCTGTGGAAACTATGTTTTCAAGATTCCAGACGCTTGTTGCAGGACTCAAGGTTATGAACAAAGGACATTTTACTGCAAATCATGTTAAGAAAATTATCAGAAGACTTCCTAAGAAATGGAGAACGATGGTAAGTGCCTTGAAGTTGTCCAAGGATCTGAACAATACTAGTCTTGAGGAGATAATCAATTCTTTAAGAAGTCATGAGATTGAACTTCAAGAAGATTAACCTCAAAGAAGAGATAAATCAGTGGCTCTAAAGTCAAAGTCTAAAAAGACAAAGGCTTTTCAAGCTGAAGAAGAATCAAAAGAAGATTCAGATGAAAATGAACTTTCTCTAATATCCAGAAGGATAAACCAACTATGGAAACATAGACAGAGCATGTTCAGAGGACCAAGAAGAATAAAAGGTAGATATGAATCTACATCTGGTCAGAAGAAAGCTTCTGGAAAAGAAGTTACTTATTATGAGTGCAAAGAGCCTGAACATTACAAGAATGAGTCCAAAGCTTAGAAAAGACAAGAAATCCAAGAAGCTTTTCAAAAAAAGAAGGGTCTTAGGGAAACATGGGACGATTCAGAGTCAGAAGAGGAAGATTCTGATGAAGAACATGCTAACGTGGAACTCATGGACAAAACAAATATAAGTGAAGTTATATCAGAGTGTGAGCTGACAACTGATGATGAGTCAGACTCTGACGACGAAACAAAGGTACTTTTTTCTCTCTCTCTCTCTCTCTCTCGTACTGAACGTGAGTCTTGTTTATCTGAAATGATGAAAAGATATCAACTTCTTCTAAGTAAACACAAAACTCTGAAAAAGACTTTTGTAGTTACTTCTGAGAACTTTACTAAGAGTGAGAAAAATAGTTTTTATTTAAATGAAAATATATTTGCTTCAGAAAAATCAAATCTTACTCTTAAAAGTAAAGTCTCAAAATTGGAAGAAGAGATCACTTCTAGCACATCTATTACTGATGAAGTAATCAGATATGATAGAGTTTTTTATCACTTCTTAGCTAAAGACATAGATAGAAGAAAGATGGCTTCAATGATCTATGGAGTTAGAAGAAATAGAAGGAGAGGCTTAAGATACTCATGACCATCAAAAGTAATTGATGAGACTCCGATTGTCAAACCAAAACCTCTTTCTAAACATTTTGTGCTTGCTGGAACTGAACTGAAATGTTCTAAGCAAGAAAGTTATGATTTTATTAAATCACAACCACAGACCCAGAAGTAAGCTTCTAAGCCTAAATATTATGCACAAATTCCACTTAATTATCATGTTGCACAAGAATCCAAAGGTGTCAAAACCTCTAGAACTACTAACAAGAAAGGACCCAGAAAATGGGTACCTAAGGATGAGATAATCTATGTTGCAGATATCCTTGATGACTCCACTAAGACACCAGTCATGGTACCTGGATAATGGATGCTCGCGATACATGACAAGCTAAAGGCGTATGTTCCAAGATTTGGAACTTAAGTCTGGAGGTGTTGTTGGTTTTGGAGGTAATCAGAAAGGAAAGATCATTGGCTCTGGAATTGTTGGTAATGGTAAACTTTCTTCTATTAATAACATTATTTTAGTTAAGGGTCTGAGGCATAACTTATTGTCAATCAGTCCACTTACTGACAATGGTTATGATTTCATCTTTAATCAAACGTCCTGTAAGGATGTAAGTCAGAATGATGGCTCAGTTATGTTTAATGGTAAGAGGAAGAACAACATTTATAAAATTAGATTATCAGATTTGAAAAACTAGAATGTAAAATGTCTTCTGTCTGTCAACGAAGAGCAGTGGGTTTGACACAGACGTCTGAGCCATATTAGCTTGAGAAAAATATCTCAACTAAATAAGCTTGGATTAGTCATAGATTTGCCCAATCTGAAGTATTATTCAGATGCTCTTTGTGAAGCATGTCAAAAAGACAAGTTTCAATAACTTCTTTTAAAGCTAAAAAGATTGTTTCTACCTCTAGGAGATTAAAACTTCTTCACATTTATTTGTTTGAACTAGTGAAAACTGCTTCTGTCAATGAAAAGAAATATGAACTAGTCATCGTTGATGATTACAACAGATGGACATGGATAAAATTCTTAAGACACAAGGATGAGTCACATTTTGTGTTTTCTTCTTTCTTCATCCAAGTGCAAAAGAAAAAGAGTTGCAAAATAGTCAGAGTCATAATTGTTCACGGTGGAGAATTTGAAAACAAAGATTTTGAAAAGATTTTTGATTCTAATGGTATATCCCATGATTTATCCTTCCCTATAACTCCACAACAAAATGGGTTTGTAGAGAGGAAGAATATGACTTTATAATAAATGGCTCACACCATGATCCAAGAGACTGAAATGGCTAAGCACTTTTAGGAAAAAGTAGTAAATACAACTTGTTACATTCAGAATATGATCTCTATAAGTCCTATTTTTGGTAAGACTCCTTATGAATTGTGGAAGAATAGAAAGCCAAACATTTCTTATTTCCATCCTTTTAGATGTATATGTTTTATGTTGAACACTAAAGAGAATCTGGGCAAGTTTTATTTCAAAGCACAAAAGTGTAGGATATTCTGAATGCTCAAAAGGCTTCAGAGTCTACAACATAAAATCACGAATTGCGGAAGAATTAATTCATGTCAGATTTGATCATAAGCTTGACTCTGAAAAGTCAAAGCTAGTTGAAAAATTTGCAAATTTAGAGATAACCTTTTCAGAACCAAAGGAGAAGGTACAAGAAGACAAAGAATCAGAAGTTCCCTCCTCTGATATTGTTGCTACTCCTTCTAGTCCCCTATAATAAAAGAGAAGCAAAACTGCAATCTCTCATCCTGAAGATTTGATTATGTGAAACAAATACGCTCCTGTGAGAACCAAATCAACCTTTAAACCATCTGAAAAAATAATCCTGGGTTTT